TATTATGTTATATAAGCATAACATATGTTTCAGAAAAAAATCTAATTTTTAGAGAAACATATGCAAAAGAATTATCAACTACCTTCCAGTATGTATTTGAGTATTCGCGCGAATACCAAATTGGGTCCCTATGTGAACATAGCAAAACAGGGAGATTCAGTGTTGAAAACACACATCTTTCATGTTATATATCCGTTATTATGATATTTATTCCGGAAAAAAACTTTCTGTTTTGAGGGGAAAACATGCAATGCTCGAATTATCGGGTAGTTGAGGATTCACGCAAATAACCAACTGAAGCCCCTGGTCGATGTATGGAGATGGGGTGATTCCATTTGGTAGAATTAATCCATCTTAATTGTCATATATTTTTACTTTTTTTTTATGAAAAAAGAATTTCTTGTGTTTTCATCTTTTAGAGAATTTCATGTTACAAGTTTAAATAACCAACTACCTTCTATAGTTGACAGTTGGGGATTTGTGTAAATAACTTAATAGATCCACTACTTTATTCTGTGTTTAAAATTGTATGATGTGTTGTAACATTTCATGCTGGTGATAGTGGATTGAGTATCAAACTACCAGCTGTTAAATAGTTAAGTATTACGAATAACAAGCTACCAGCTAGTAGGTATAGTTGGTTATTCGGATATCCAACTACCACCTGCGTACCAAATTGACGCATGAAGTAACGTTGAATTTTACATATTTTATTCACTGAGATAGTTTCCTTTGTCTTTTCTTTGTTTTCGACTAATTGTAGACTTATATCAACTGAACACATGGCATTATTGAATTGTTCCCTAAAACAAAGCTGTTTACTAACTTGTAAATCTGTAAGACATCCGTCATTTATTTTCTGCTCCTCGTCCATGATATTAGCTTGTTTATATTCCGATAGAAACCGTCGTTTGTTCGTATAGAAGCAAGGGAACTCAAAATTGACCGTATAGAAGCCGTTAAGGTGGAGTTTGAAAAATGTATATATGCTTATATATTATTGAAAAAGCAGCATGTACTTCCTTTTTGACAAAATCATATTTCAGATCAATGGCTTAAGGTCTAGTCTGGACAGAAAATGGCCATATATTTGATTATATCCGCAAAGTCATAAACATTCACCTAAACAGATAAAATATTCATGAATAAAAATATTTTAAGAAAATAAACTAGATACAATTAAAGTCAAACCTGTGACCATATCCACACAAAGAAGAAGCATGTTCTTTTTAGACAAGTGTTCCTTATCTTCTGTTTAAACATTGGGGTGTTGTTTAAGGGTGACATTTATTAAATAGAGTGGTCTTTGGTTGGGTTTAATGCTGCTTATTGCTGAACAAAGAACATACTTACTATTTGTTATTATTATATGGGAAATAAAAAGCTTTAAACAGACAAAATTTATTAAGATTGTTAATAAATAAAAAATCTTTTTGCTTGACTAACGCAGTGAGGGCATTTTCTTGCATATTGTGACTTTTATTTGGTACTTTACGTGGATTGAAAGAGTTGTTTGCAATATGTAAATAACTTTCCTTATTCACTTGAAAATATTTTACATTTAATTTACATTACATTTTCAAAATTTCCATGAAAACTAGCATGAGTCTGGAGGTATGCTGCATTTATTTTATTTTTCACCTAATTTTCGCGAACAGAAATATTTTTAAGTAGTGAAACTTGATTTAATAGACTTGTATTACACCTTTATGTATCATTTACAAGATGTTTTTGTTTCAATCAACTTTCTTATTGTCAATATTCGAACTCAGTTCTATTAAACGGAACAAGGCTTTTTCGGTATGAGCTTTTTAATTTATTGTCAACAATCTTACTAATTTTCCTTTTACTACTCGTTTGTGTAAAGTCCTTTATTATAACTCCTCGAGTCAGCCATTGTTAAACACTTTAGACCTAAGCGCTATATTTAACTATTAAGGTGCGAAAATTCAATAGCATAATAACCCTATTTCTTGGTCACTAATGTAATAATGTATTATATGGGAACTTCCAAAATAGTTATAAATCCAAGCGGGCGCTGTGGTGCAGAGTCCGACTACAAGTCTAGGGGTTGCGAGTTCGATCCGCCGCTACTTCACTAAAATTACTTTCAATCTTTCGTACTCTGACTCGCATGACACTACTCACACGCTGATCTGACAGACACATATAACACTATTGACACACTGACTTGACACGAATAGGATATTACTGTCACACTGACCTGACTCAAAATACACACAGGACACAACTCACATACTTTCTGACAGAGAGGACACCACTGACACACAGGACACAACTCACGGACTTACCTGACACACAGGAAACTACTTACACACTTACCTGATACACATGAACTCTACTAACACACTAAAGTGACATACGCATGTCGCAGGGTCATATTGTTATATTGATGTATTAATTAATGTTACATGTTATTTGTAAATGTATGTCCCGTATTGTACACCGTAGATTATGTGAAGTCCTATATTTGTGTCCTTATCCTATATTCCATACATTCATCCTTTTATTCATTTACTCATTCATTCATTTCTTCATTCATTCATTTATTAACAAGTATGTACTAACCATTGGTACGGGCCTTAATCTTAAATATTCTACTTCCGCACTAAGTACCTTCACGCATGCGCACTCCTACTGAAGATTTTCATGGCGCGAGCCAGACTTCGTATTCATCGATAATAAATATTTTCTGAGAGCGTATTTCTGTATTTTTATAGGTAAATATGAATGTCTGTATTGATCCCATACTTGTTATTCTACATTTTGCCATTCATGATTTTGTGTCATTTGTCATTATTTTGTCTTTGCACTCCTACTGAAGATTTTCATGGCGCGAGCCAGACTTCGTATTCATCGATAATAAATATTTTCTGAGAGCGTATTTCTGTATTTTTATAGCAACCCTCAAGCCCAGAACCTCTTAGCAGCACCTTTCCCATATCGTAAGAGTGGACTGCGACACACAGGACACTGCTGACACAGTGAACCTTACTCACAGGACACTAAAACACACTACTCACAAACTGATCCGACACATAGACTCACACACTGACCTGAAACACACAGGCCACTACTGGCATACTGACGTTACTCAAAGGACACTACTGACACACACTCGCACGCGCGAACGCACACACACAGAGTACTACTAACAGACTTCCTTGACACACAGAGGACTTCTGCACACTGACCCGACTCACAGTACACTTCTCACATAGTGACTTGACTCACATGATATTACTCACACACTGACCTGACACATACAGGACACTACTCACACACTGACCTGACACACACAGGACACTACTGACACACTGACCTGGCAAATACAGGACACTACTGACACACTGACCTGACACATACAGGACACTACTGATACACTGACCTGACACACACACAGGACACTACTGACACACTGGCCTGACACACACAGGACACTACCGACACACTGATCTGACACACACAGGACACTACTGACACACTGGCCTGACAGATACAGGACACTACTGACCTGACTCACACAGGACACTTCTGACATACTGACCTGACAAATACAGGACACTACTGACACACTGACCTGACACATTAAGAACACTATTGACACTCTAACCTGACTCGCACAACAGACACAATAGACAATACTCACATACTGACCTGACACACATAGGTCATAACTAAAAGACTGACTTACCACATACTTAACTGATACACACAGGACACTATTCACATACTGACCTGAAACAAACAGATAGTACACACACTGACCTGTATCACAATTACGCTGTTCACAGTCTGTACTGACTCACATGACACTTCTTACAGACTGATCTAACTCATAGGACACTTCTCAAACACTGACCTGACTTACCTGACACAGATCATCTTCATTGTTATCATCAGTACATCATCACCATAACTAATTTGAATTGTTGAAAACACACAAATAAAACATATTTATCTGATGTTTTTCGATTTCGAAGTGATTTTGAAACTAATTGACTGATGATGATTATTTTGATTATGTTGATTATGGGGATAGAGATGAAAGTGATTATATTAATACGGGATTGATAACGATTTGTAGATGAAGATGATGATGATGATTATGATAGTTTGATTTTGACGATGATGAACGTAATTCATGTTGCAGTGATGATTTTTATTACTTTTGTGATGTTGAAGATAATGATGATGATAATATCGATTGTGATGTTTGAGTTGATCATGGTTTTAATAATGAAGACATTGGAGGGAATGACAGTTCTCATGATGATTGCCATGATGATGATTTTAATAATGGTGAAGAACGAGGTGATTATGAATTTGATGATGATAGGGTGATAGTGTTTTAAATAATGATGAGGGTGATTTTGGTGAATATTATAAATTTGATAATAATTAAGATGGAGGAGTTGAAAATTATGATTTTGATGATGACGGGGAAATGGTGAGTGATGATAGTATAATGATTTTAATGCTGATGATTTTGATGATGAAAATGGGGAAAAGGTAAGGACGATATCATAATGATTTTAATGCTGATGATTTAGATAATGATAGAACTGATGATGACTTTAATGATGATGGTGTTGTTGATGAAATTCAAGATCACCGTGATAATTATTATGACTTTGATGGTGATAATGACGGTGATGATGATAATGTGAGTAAACATTTTCATGGTGAAGACGTCAACTTCATGACGTGAAGCTTTATTCGTAGAAGTGAGGCATCACTTTTGAAATCGATGCATGTTGTTGACCAATAAACCTCACGTGTGCTTTATTAAGGATTTGATTTTAGATTTTTATTTTGGAAAAAGATATCAATTCTCGCATTGTTGTAGAATTATGCACAGTTGGAGTTAAATTCATGGGACTATTATCTCGAAGGCCGGTAGGCCTGACTGATTAATTACAGAGCATTTGAACAAATAACTGTGCATTATAGACCCATTGCAGCATGACGCCACGCGCACCTGCAAATTGATCTCGTTTCCGCCTGGTTGGCAAAAAGCACGCCATTGTTATTTACAAGTAGAGCGGAAAGTTGAAAGGTCGTATCTGTTTACAAACAAATTGTGTTAAAGCGCGTGATAATGCCAACCAGTTGTTGTGCACCAGGATGCACACAGAGATTTGAAAATAATTCTGGGGTCAGTTTCTTCAGATTTCCTAAAGAAAAAGAGCAGAGAACCAAATGGATACTAGCGCTACGGCGAAGAGATCTTAAAGACCCAAACAAATTATGGGAGCCCTCGGCGTACGATCGTATATGCAGTTTACACTTCACATTAGGTACATTGGGATTTTATTATGTTTTAGCTGTCTTGATCAGCTGTCGTATTTATTCCCATATATTTATTGGGTTTTATAACCATTTGTATCGACACACAGTACAAGTAATCTGTCAGCATTTTATGATTTAGATGTAAGGTTGTTAATAAGATTATGATATATCGTGCTAATTTCGCACTGAAAGTTATATGACATCAAATGTTACACGTTCTCTGTCAGATATTTAAGCATTACAGCAACAGTTAATATATAATTTGTCCAAATTTTTTTCAGGTCAACCATCCAAGGATCCTTGTCACCCTGATTACTGTCCCAGTATCTTCTCCTTTACTCCTGCTACAAAACAAACACCAGCCAGAGCAGACAGATACCTTAGACTGAAGAAAAGAAAACTTTCTTTCACTGGTGAAAAGAACAAGGAAAACAACAATCCACTGGATATAGCTGAAGCTCTTCTTAACCTTGGTAGTGACATACCACAGACATGTGACAAAGGTAAGGCCAGAATACTGAGTATTTCTTGTTTTAATCACCAAATTTACTTGACTGTAAATCACTAGTGATACAGTCATTGAATTTAAGATTTTGAATGTACTGGCCCGAATTCCAGTTTTAAATTACTTCTACTACATATTTAGCTAACTTTTATTAAAATTAACACTCAGGCCCGAACTAATTTACACTGGCCATGGGCCACAACGGCCCACCAGGCTAGTGTTAAATTTGATGACTGATTATATGTTTAAACACTTGCATTTACTTTATAATTTGATATATCACAACAATCAATATTTAGTTTACCGGTACTTTTAAATCTAATACCCAATCATTTACTTGTAATTGAAATTCAAATAATTACTTCATGACATTTAGAAATGCACAAAATGTTTAATTTGATTTTATCTTTTCAGGCACTGATCCAGACAAAGATCCTTTACTCGTGAAACTGGAAAAGCTTGAACAGGAACATTCAGCTCTTCAAAAGGAGTATCAACATCTTTTGGATGAAAATAGGTCACTGAAAGCCAAAATAAGGAGTTCTGAGTTCACATATAAGAATTTTAGTAAAAGCCAAATGGCATCAATGACAGGACTTCCATCTATTGGAGCATTTACATGGGTACTGTCATTAGCAGCGGTTGTATGCAAACCCATAGGGAAACTTTCAATCGGTGACATGTTGCTGCTTGTTCTAATGAAGTTGCGTCTGAACTTAACAAACACTGACCTGGCTATGCGCTTTAATATAAGTCCCACAAATGTGTCCAGAATACTGTGTCATTGTTTACCTAGACTTGCAAAGTGCCTGAAATTTCTGCTAGTGTGGCCATGCAAGGGTAAGATATTGAAAAACATGCCAAGATCCTTTAAGAAGAACTATAAGAAGTGTCGCGTTATAATAGATTGCAGTGAAATATTTATTCAAAGACCAACAAATCTGGATACCCGTGCTAAAACTTGGTCTTCATATAAACATCATAATACCATGAAATTTCTCATTGACATTACACCCTATGGTGCTGTAAGTTTTTTGTCAAAGTGCTGGGGTGGTAGAATATCAGAAAAGGAGATAACTGAACGGTCAGGGTTTTATGATAATCTTGAACACGGAGACCTTGTTTTGGCCGATAGGGGCTTTCTGATATCGGATGAACTGGCTGTCAGGGGTGCATCACTCGCAATACCGCCATTTGCTAAGGGTAAAGTGCAGTTCTCACAAAAAGAGATAGAATGTGGACGTAGACTTTCAAAGGCAAGAAGACACGTGGAGCGGGCAATTGAACGTGTTAAGCGATTCCAAATTCTAAAGCATGTTATGCCGCTTTCTATGTTCCGACATGCAGATTCAATCTTAGCTATCTGTGCTGCATTGACAAACTTAATGCCCAAATTGGTAAAATAAAGACACATGTAAATGTATGGATAACAATCTCTTTTATTTCAGTTTCTATTGGTTAAGGAAACAATGTTAACAAAACAATTAGACAAAAGACACAATGTAACATTTCAATATAGCTAAGGAAACAATGTGAAAACATTTTACTGGTATATATCTTATGCATTACATAGTATGTTATTGTAACAATTTATTTATCATTTATGTATGCCAAAGAAATTTGTTGTTGGACTCAATATCAAATAAACAGAAGAAAATGTTTATACAGTTTGTCAAATATATTTACATATGTACAGTAAAGATAAAATATTGCTTTCACTTATTCATACCCTATCTGCCAAAATTGCGGTCTGAAGCCAAGTTTAAAATTAACAAGTATTTAATCTGTTTCATCTGTGTACCAAAAATTATTAGAAGATAAAGTCATTGTTGAGAGTATTCATAACAAGCCATTTTCTTTGTAAAATGAGAAGAATACTTTAACAGAAACAAAGCTATGTTAAACAATTACTGAATTAGTCGCTTAAAGCCAAATATTTCCTTGACCTTTCATATAATGTAAGAATGATGCCATCCATTGTCTCATTTATTGGAAAATCATCCGAAAACCAGGACAAAAAAGTGAAAAAAGGGGCATTACTTAGTAAAGTACAATTTCAGGATTATCTGCCCCTTTATTAAATTTGATGCTAAAGAATGGCAACTATAGATTTACAGATGCGGGTCATGAGCTAAAATAGGCTTCCAAGTGACACTTTGAATTTCTGAATAATTACCTTTGGGATTAAGTCATCAAGTGCAAATGTTTTACATTTTTCTATCATGTTTCTCACAAAATCCATGTCAAAATAGATTGTCTGACAAACTATCCCCTTATTGCTGTAAACAACAAAATCACAGAATGTTTTACCACAAACAAACATTTGAAACTGCACTTGCGAGTAATACCTGTGTGATTTTTTAAGAATAAGGCCACTGTCCAAAAAGAAACATTCATCCCTTATGTCAGTCAATTCACTATCCCTATGTTTGTAAGTGCTTTTAATTTCCAATAAGCCCTCACCATGGCACTTACATGATCTGACTCCATCAGGGGTGGCAGCAAACAGAGGGAATGCTGTTTCTACAAAAAGACCACATTCTCTTAAAGAAAACTTCTCATGTTGTACCATTTGTTTAATGTATAAAGATTTTGCACTACTTTCAGATTTACGGCCGAAAGCAATGGCAGCAACATTGCTTAAGTCAGTACACTTATACTGCATGATTTACTCAGTAGGGCCTTTTTTCTGGTAGAAGTCCTTAAAGTTAAAATGTCATGTGCCACTGTTGCTGTTATGCGGCCTTTTCTTTGACGCATCCAAATGGCACTGTTGTGTTGCCCTCTTGTCATTGTCTCCAAATTCTGTGCTTGTTGGGGAGTCACACTAAAGTCCTTCAAGAACTCATCACATTTGACAGCCAACTCTTGTGCGCTTAGGTTTTTCTCAGGTTGTCCATGAATTCTGTCTAGCAACTGAAAAATAGCAAGTGTTTTGATAGGTGAAATACAGCAATTTCTAAGTACAGATAACATACTAAAGTAATCAGTCTTCATAATGATCAACAATTACATGGATCATGTAACATGAAGAATATTTTAGGGCAAGTAAATTTAGTTACATAAATGGTTCCAGTTAAGTCAAGAAAACGAGACAGAAATTAAATGGTATTGTCGTGAATATAAAATATTGACATATATGTCTATATCAATATTCGGATATTCAGTGACTGTAAGTGACAGCTTCTATTTTAAGGCAGCTAGATATTTTTTTTAATGAGATAGATATCACTTATTACTTAGTAACCTTGTAGGTAACAGTTTATAGCAAAAATGCTTATTATAACTATTATTTGATACATACTGGTGGGGTGTCTTCATCTTCGGAGCCTGTATCAGAGTCATCTTTTGTTAAAAAACATGCTGTTGGACACAGACGCTTTAAACTTTCAAGCGCTTCATTTTCATCTACAGTCGGCATTGCTGTCTCATCCTCAAGTCTCTGTTTTCTCTTTCTTTCCTGTCCAGGCTTTAAGTTGGCCAAGGTCATCTGTGAAACGGGTTGATGAGTGATCTGTAGAGAAAAAAGTTGGGGATTTTTATTTTTTTTCTATGATAAATTTGCATTGTGAAATATAAAACCTCAAACAATTCTTTGTAATTAATTAAATTAATTATTAGTAAATCAGTAAAAACTTGAAATTTATTGAATAAGCAGATTGTCAATTTTACCTTCTTTCTATAGAACTGGTTCCACGTACAGGAAACACTTGTCTTAGATTCTCTATTCAGTCCCCACAGTGTAGCCATCATCATTTTAAATAATAATGCAGCAACATGGCTACATGCTTCTCCAAGTCTGAAATTATAAAGGTATGGTAATATTGATAAACCTATGCAATACAGAATGTGTTGTTAATTTTTTAAATTGCAGTACTACTGGCAGCTATTCTTAATTTTTGACAGCATGTTTGAAGCATAAGGAACCTGGATCAAAATTTGCATTAACACATGTGCTCATAATGTATTAATTATCAGTAACTGTTTCTTTAATAATAAAATCAAATATAAACATTAAGCAATATACAAATTTACTAACAGAGCTTTACATGTGCAGTGAGCACATACAACATATCCCCTTGTCTTGTCCAAGTACAACCATGGTTCATGGGGCTTATCATTAGCTCTCTGTGAAGGGGCTACCTTTGCCTTGACAGCACACACAGGTAAATCTTCATCGAATGCACAATAAAAAACTTCTTGCACATGACCAGAGTTATAGTAGTTATAGCCTTCCAACGATTTATATGCCTTTAGGCTTTCACTAGTGTATGTGCCCGGGTAATTTATCAAATAATTGTAGATGTCCGGGTAAGAAACGTCCGGCCACTTTGTCACTGCATTTTCCCATTTACTTTTATCAATCGAGTAGGGATCTGGTAAATCTCTGCCTTCAAACACTAACTTCTCAATATACCTCTGAGATGCAACATTATCTAAATGTAAAATCTGCTTCGATTTGTTTTTATCTTTGTTTTTATCAGAATCAGATCTGTAATTACTATCAGCGGCCATTGTTGTTTTTTTTTTCTTGCCAACCAAGCAGTTGCGCATGCGCGAGAATACCAATCAAAACAATAACATGGTTAGCGCCTATTATATATCTATTTCCATTCTTATACGCCAAGAAAGAAGGACTATATGTTTTGTGGTTGAATTTGTTTTTACCTCAGAGTTTCTTATAAAAGCTGTTCCAGTCGGTTAAGAAACAACTCTACCGTTTGCAATTATGAATTTTAAACCGTTGATAAATTTTATGGGTTTATTCTATATCCCTTAATTAGTTTCAAGCAAAATAAAGAGTTTCTTTTAGCGAGCTCGCAAAGGTAACGCGAGTACCTGCTAAGTGATGGTTTTGTGAAGTACTGATATGACACATCGAAACTTTTCGAATTAAAAGATAACGATAAAAACTGAGGAATTCTAACTGAAAACGGATGTGTAGTCTGGTCACCTGCGCACTTCTATGGGAACCATAATTGGACAGTGAACCAGAATAACGGAAGCTGTATATGAAATATTGAATGACAGTTTTAAAACGGAAAATGTTAAATGAAAAATAAACGATTATTTTAACCGACTTTTCCCGTAGATAGGTTTTGCCTGATTTCATTTCATGTACATTTACCTCCTTTTTTCAACAAACAAAACAATAATAAGAAAAAAATAAAGGGGCGGAGCCATATTTAACACAGTACGTGTGACGTCACAAGCACTCGTCACTGCATTTGTATCAACAGTCGAGCCGATTCCTTCTTTCCTTCTGTAATTTAACGTGATTCACGTAGCATTAATGATAATACATTAATTTTATTTATTTAATAGGACAGGAAACCAGAATAAACGGAAGCAGCGTATAAAATACCGAACTGCAATTTAAAACGGAAAAAGTAAAATAAAATAAGCGATTATATCATACTATTTAACATTAAAGCACATTGAGCTCGCTTTGAGGCTTTGCTTTTTTCATATTAGTTTCAAGCAAAATACAGAGTATTTTTAGCACAATAATGTGAAATTAACTGGTATTCTACAATGAAATACAGAAGCACAGTATATAAACAAGTCCACATCTTGTTATCGCAAGTAAAATACAAGTTAAAATATTTAGGCTCCGAAGTAAGGTACATTGATCGGAAGTAACATGTGCTTTTACTCGCAGGACATGGTACTCATTGAATTATATTGGCACAGTGATTTTGTTTATATAATATGAGTAGCGTTTTGTTTTGACTTTTTTTTGCACACGCTGTTTGGCGCTAAATTTTGACGTCACGTAAAAACCACTTTTAAAGTCTGTACAGCGTTAATGACTGAATTAAAGTTATAGAGGATATGAATGAGTGTAAGTTTAATACTGAATTTATTGAACGAGTTGAATTAAATATATTACGCGAACCTCTGGTGAGCATAATATTATTCTATTCAACGAGTTCAATAAATTCTGAAATGAACTTACAGGAATTATACATTCTATTAATCACATATCAAAAAATAAAACAAACTTTCTTTTTTTAAAAAAAAAAGTAGAATAACATCAAAAAATGACAGCAGCCGTGTTTATAATACTGCACGTTGGTAACGTCGCTTTGCATTGAATAATCGTGACGTTTATATAGTTTTATATACAGCTGCTGTCGATTTAAAAAGAAATCTCACTTTATTTCTTCAAAATGATGTTTGCTGTATTATAAATTCGTTATAGATATTATGACAGGTTATATGGCCGTATATAAACGGTTGTTTGCAATATGACCCTAGCCTTGCGGCTTGGGTTATATTTACAAACAACCGTTTATATATGACCATATAACCTGTCAAAATGTTTATAACTTATGATACAGGAAGCGCCGCAATGCGAAGAAAGCCAGGTTTTCAACGACCAAATTTTGATGTGACAGCAATCAATAGGTCAAAGTACACTGAAGTTAATGAGTAGAAGCTGAAAATTGTAAGCAAATGACCTTGAACTTGCTCCCAGATATTTAAGTAGCAATCCAAAGCTGCCACTCAGCAAGTTTATTGTAAAAAGGTCAAAGCAAACTCAAGTTATAACATGAAAACTAAATACATTAACCTTGATCACAGACACCTGGGTAGCAATCCCAAGCTGCCTCTTGATATAAGCTACCCATTCATCAAGTTTGGTGTCAAAAGGCCA